CATCATTGGGTTTAATGATGATTTAATGTAGACCAATACATCATTGGGTTTAATGATGATTTGATGGAGACCAATACATCATTGGGTTTAATGTTGATTTGATGGAGACCAATACATCATTGGGTTTAATGATGATTTAATGGAGACCAATAGATCATTTATTGGTCTCCATCAAATCAACATTAAACCCTATCATAAAGTTTAATGATGATTTGATGGAGAAAGTGATCTACTTACTGGTCGTCCAAGAATTAGACGAAAGAAGAGGCAAGTGATTTGTATCAATAATTCAAATTAGAAACATTGACAAGGAAAGTTAAAACATGGTTAGTACTTATAAGAAAACTGATAAACAAATTTTTCCTTTTTTTTCAGTTAAGAAATCCCCTGTTTAGAATAGTCACTAACTCGAGGTGTATTATTTTTCTAGGAAACATTAGAAACTCATCACCAAATTGGATTCTGGGAGTCCAAAAGAGATCGTTTTGTAAAAACCAAAATAGAACAGCTTGTAAAATAAGATGGTTTGTTTGTTATGAATTTCGCCCAAAGCTACACGAGGGCTATCTGCGCTAGCCGTCCCTAATTTAGCAGCGTAAGACTAGAGGGAAGGCAGCTAGTCAACACCACCCACCGCCAACTCTTGGGCTACTCTTTTACCAACGAATAGTGGGATTGACCGTCACATTATAACGCCTGAAAGGGCGAGCATGTTTGGTGGGACGGGGGATGAAATAAGATGGAATTGTCTCCATAACATAAACAGAGAAAACTTGGGTAAAAAAAAAAACGATGTTAAATATGTATTGTTAGTTTCCTCACGGTTCAGCTGATCCGGTTTCACGTTTCCTTCAACTTTCTTGAATTAATAAATAGTAATTTGTCTCTAAAGCCAAAAGTCTCAAAAGTTGTTTTCTTGTGTAACGAAACGTCAAAGAATCGAATATGATTTTTTTGTTGTGAGATAATAAGAATAAGGGACAAAAATAAGCTTATCATACGTGAATCACGTGGATTCAATGATCTCTCTATTCAGAGATTTTCTTACAAGAAACAAAAAAAAACAACCCAGAATACTCAGATCTTATGTGTAAATCTTCGTTTTAGGTAGTCAACGTTACCATCCTCATCGTTTTCCTTCTCCTCTTCAGATGTACTTTTACCAAGGATACCTTGCAACTTCTTCCGCTTGGCTTCTGCTCTTCCGCGTGCTGAAAAACAATTATAATTTTGTTATCAGAAAGAGGCTCGCTCTGTAAGGGCTTTAATCCTCAACTTACCGACTTGTTTTTATACCGTTCACTACAAGTGGGGTCCACCTGTTGTGTCATGTTAAGTAGTTTTATTTTGGTTTAATTTAACACTCGGTGAAAAGAGCTGACCAAAAAAAATTGGATGATATAAATATTTTTATTTTTATGTAAAATACATAGAGGACATTGATTAAATGGATTAATTGAAAGATCCTTTTTTAATTCTATATATATGACTCGTATGTTATTATTAACCCTGTAATGACGAATCTCATCGAAGTACAATAACTTCAATCAATAAAATATCTTTGCTTTCAAA